TTACTTCTTCTTTTCTAATGGCTTGAGACCTAAAAGATATAAAAACTCCTTGAACATTTATTTTATTTAAATTGTTATATATTTAAACTATGGTTTAGTATATAGTTAAGTCAACACAGTATTGTAACAATGTTTATTTTGGCTAAGCTACTTTGTAAGAGCAATTGGCAGAACTACTTCGTAATTAAGTCATCTATACAGAAGTTAACTGGATATATCTTAGATTTACTTAGTCTTAATTTAGATTTAAATGTATAACAAAACTAGCTGTTCCCATGCGGCTTCATCCGCATGAAATTATGAAAATTTTATTTCATTGTTTACTTTTGTCAAATTATCAATAACAAATGTCAAAATGACATGACATGACAAACCTTGGCAATCTTGCCTCCTTGATGTTGGCAGCAACTTATGATCGCTTTCCCACATTGGGGTTTTTATCCATAATATTTACCCCCTTAGTTTAATGGCGCGATAATATATAGCCTAAAGCGTGACGTAAGTGTAGGGCTTTTTATCAAAAAAGGATTATTCAAAAATATGCTGTAATTGCTGACATGTTAGGCAACAAAGATGTGTGTGTTTACGCTTTATTATAATAGTATAGATTAGATTTTATGTTGTAAAAAAAACTTGTTTAAAAAAGATTTGTTTTAAGCTGATCGTGAAACTTTTCTTTTAAAATTTCTAGGTACAGAAATCATAGAACGATTCTTAGGCACTAAACGTATTAAATTAAAACTTATAAATAGAGAAACAAAACTTGAATTATACCTAACACAATAAACACTTCATTATACCGCCTTGTTAGAATGAAAACACCTTAGTGTACAACAGGACTCGTTTGTTCTCCGTCAAGCAGTTGCAACAACAATGAGGTAATTATCGCGAACTGCCGCCACAAGTTAATCAGTCCGTGCTCCATTAGCGACCACAGACAAAAGACTCGCGACAATCAATACAATACCCCTAGGAGCTAGGGTGACCATAGATTTCAAAATTATGACAAAAATATCGGTATATTTTTGTGAAATATTGAAAGCTACGTATCCCTCGGGAACCGGACATTTCTCGGGGATGAAGCTTATCCCATGTATACTCCAGACTTTGTTTTATATCTGTGCCAAATTTCAATAAGATATGTTAAACCGTTGCAGAATGATCGAGTAAACATTAAAAAACTAAATTAATGAATCCCACGGAAACCGTAACTATTCCCGGGATAAAAAGTAGCCTATGTGTTCTTCCAGACCATGCTCTAAACCTGTGCCAAATTTCATGGAGATCCGTTCAGCCGTTTAGACCACAAACGCTAACAAACATCCATCCATCCATCCATCCATCTATCCATCCATCCATGTTTGTAAAAGTTTGTAGCTTAAATGAATGAACGGATCTCGATGAAATTTGGCATAGATATAGAACATAGTCTGAAGGAACACATAGGCTATTCAATTTTGTTTTTGCCGACGGAGTCGCGGGTGAAAGCTAGTGTAAGAATAAAGTAACAAAACCCATTAGTCTGAAATCTAACATAAAAAATACTTAGCTATAGACATTTATTGTCCTTCCAACACCTATGGGGTGTTCTTGCCTCCCCGCACATGGCAAAAAGTGCGACAGACGCCGCGCCGCAGCACACCTCGTGATGAACACGCGGCGAACACGCAACATTTTTTACCGCCTCACAACTGGACACAATACAACTGCATTAAAATTAAATTAAGGAAGTTTAAGGATCTTTAATGTAACTGCTGAGGGTGTTCCTAAAATATACTGTCAAGAAATAATACACTAATAACCAAAATTTATACACTCAACCCCAATAATGTGTTTATGTTAATGGAATTATTTCTTAATAGCTTTCGCCCGCGACTCCTGCCGCGTGGAATTAGAAAAAAAAAAACAAATGTGAGTAGTCCACATGTTCTTCCAGACTATCCTCTACATCTATACCGAATTTCATCGATATCCGTTCAGCTGTTTAGGTTACAAACTCTAACAAACATCCAGCCATCTAATTTCGCATTCATAATATTAGTATATGATTTAATTGTGACTATTTTTCAATAACAATTACTTCAAATGTGCTTTCCACTATTTTACATTTTTAACACATTCCTTGTTGTCATGGTGTCCCTACAGCTGTCATGTTCAAAGCAATGATTGATGCGACCGTAGCTCGGTCCCGCGCCGCGACTTCACTTGATGTTACACGTGAAGATAACTGACGTGATCTCCCAAGTCACAGCGCCTCTAGACACGTGTAAATTATTTGAAAGGTAGAGGAAGACAGAAGAACGTTTTGGAGAATCCAAACATTCATCAACAAAGAGGATATGTTTAAGGGAGTGAATTGGTTTTTAAAAGCTAGTAGAGGTGTATGAAAAAGTACATACTGCGAGTACATATTTAAACCACCTTCAAACCAACAATTTCTTCAAAATTTTGTAACTTAAATTCCACTCAGATGAAGTCGCGAGCAACAGCTATGTGTAGATATAAATAAAAGATGAATGAATTACTATCTAATTTTTATTGCAGAAAATATTAACAAATATATTTTAAAGCGAAAAAAGAAATAGAATTTTAATTTTTATCAGCATTTAAAAATGATTTGTCAATTTCTAAAATGAAATATTTTTATTTAAGCTATTTAAATATAATAAAAAGATTTTTGTATTTTAAAATGAAGAAACATTTAAAATACAAAATCATTTTTAATTCTATTGTATTTTGTTGAATGAAAATGATTTATAATTTTTGTTACAATTTGTATTTCCAAGAAAATAGAATAGAATATCTAATTTAAATGTTTTATTTCAAATTAAAAAGATAAATCAATTTTTAAATTAAACATTTTTGAATTTTGATTTTTGAATTCTTAAAATGAAGCAATATTTTAGAAAATAATTCTTGGAAATTCGTAATTTGATGTCGGAATTAATGAAAATTAATTAGTATTTTTGTTGCATCTGTTCATTGAATTATTGACGAGTGTTAATTGTTATTTTTTAAATTCTACTTCTTACTAACATTATAAAAACGAAACTATAGATGTTTCTTAGAGTTTGTAGCCTAAACGGCTGAACGGATTTGGATGAAAGTTGGTCTAGAGGCTACTTTTGATTCCGGTAATAGGATACATTAATTTTGATTTGTCATTAATTCTCTCGATAATTCTGCTATGATTCAATTACATCTTATTGAAATTTGCAGATATAAAACAAAGTCTAGAGTATCATGTGGAGTTTCATTCCCGAAAAATGTCAAGTTCCCGAGGGATGCGTAGTTTTTTTCATAGCATAATAAATTAGCTAATATTAAAATAATTTTATACATTTCTGTTATATTTTCATTAATTCTTATTGAATCAAATTGTAATAGTTTTTTTAGTATTCCTTTGAGTGATTGGACGCGCTTTATTGATGGACGTAAAATATTTATGCCTTACACCTGCTCCTATACGATATAATAACGGCTTTGATACGTTTCTCTTGTATTTTATTATATCTATTTTATTAATGCGTTACGTATATTAGGTGTTGATATATTGAACTGGAATATAAGGTCAAACAGTTTTTTGTTAATATAATGATTTATCTGAGAATTAATTGTAATAAATGATGAAGATAAAAATTATTCCAAAACTGATATCTAAAAAAATATTTAGAGTAGACGTAGTTGACACTGCATTTGGGATATTTTTACATAATCTTACTAACGCTATCTATTGATGGATCCTCCAAATCCTAAAAAATCAATGTAATTAATTACCCACGGGTATCATTAAATTTATTTTGTAACACTGTATATTTTATTTTATAAATTACAACTGATGTATAGATATTTAATAAAGTACCATGAGATTTTTTTCACTACGCCTAGTCTATATATTTCTTAGTGTCTTTGTGTTAAACTAGCATGTCAGATAAAACTAGACATTTAAAAAATGTATAGACGAAGCAGAGTGAACAACTACAATGGTTTTGGGATTAATCATTAGATGGCGTTAGTAACAATTATGCCTCCTCCATATATTTTGAAATTCTTTGATTAAAACGTAAAGCAAAACGCTTTTTATTTTAAATTTAACCGAAAATGAAATAAAACTATTAAATAACTCATAAATGTATTTTATTAATAAATCAAGGAATGTTTTAGCAAATTTATTACATTACACATAACCTAAGACCATAAAATTATTAAAGAACATTTTAACACAATTAAAAAAATGGATAACTTTACAAAGCAATTTTAAACAAAATAGATATAACCTGTAACCCTTAATTAGACGGAGAATTTTCTAGCAACAACTTTTTTTAGTAAAGTTTTAGAAAAAATCCGTCTCCAAATTAATAAACTAGTTATATACCGTACCATAGATAAAAAACCAAATAATTACGTTTTATGTTACGTGTCCAATATACAGGTAATTTATTGCTGGAAAAGATTTCTGATGTTTTAAAATAATTTGAAGCTAGTAGTGTAGCTCAGTGGTACATTATTAATATTAATAATGCAATACATAATAAATTAATAATTATTTAAAAATATTAACTATATTTGTTATTTTGTTAGTTTTACTAATAAAATCGCGAATATCGAAAACATTTAACAGCGCCATCTGTTGTGTTGTACACTTACTATAACAAGAGTTTTTGAAAACAATCTTTAGATGGCGCTTTTCTGAATAAATGTATAGAAGTGTTTCCATTTCGTTCGTTAACAAATTAACCACAAAGTATTCTGATTTAATAATAAAATAATTGTGAAAATATCAAAAAGTGCTACTAAAATAGCAAATTGTCTTATTTATCCTTGGATACAAAAGTGTAACGACCATTGTAGCTTCTCTTAGCTATAGTTTGTCTAAGAGCGCGCTCACACCTTTGACTAAATTGTCGCACAACTGTTGTGCGATTGTCGATTATTTCACAGAAAATTCAACTGTTTAGTTGCACAACTAAATATCGAGTAGTGTGCACATCCATATAAGCTCATAGCAGTCAAAGCGAGACTAAACAGTTGTGCGATAGTTTAGTCAAAGGTGTGTGCGCTCTAAACAAATTATAACAGCGATCGTCTAGCTTCTTTAATCTCACGTTGAGAGCTTCTCTAGGGTAAAAACGGATTATTCCCAACCGTCACACTGGTTTGTCCCTACGATAGAATAAAAAGCTTCATCCGTCCCACCTTCACTATCACCAATACGGTGACAGATAAAACCATTATGAAATAAGTTCCTACCGTCCCCTCGTCGCAGGACGGAAGAAACTTTTGATTTTGTCCCCGGATTATTCTCAACCGTCACTCCACTCTGTCCCCACGTGAGAATAAAAAGCTTTATCCGTCCCGCTTTTTAGTCCCAATATCACCAATAAAGTGATTTAACCAACCAAACCAAACCATTATGTAATAAGTTCTAACCGACCCTGTCGCAGTACGGATTAAACTTTTTATTGTGTCCTCACGTGGGGACAGCGGTGTGACGGTTGGGAATAACCCGTAATAACGCTAGCTTAGTATATTAAGGCGCGTTTCCACTGTGAGTGTGGTAAGAGTGGTGAGTGTGGTCAGTGTGGTGAGCGTGGTGAGCGTGGTCAGAGCGCGGCGCGCGCGGCGGCGGTCTCTGCGGCGGAGAGGTGCAGCACGGCGGCGATGGCGTTGACCATGTGCCTGCGGCCGGCGGCGTCGCGCGACACCAGGTACGCCATCACCACGTTCTTCAGGTACTCCAGGTTGGCGCCCTCCCGCGACTGGATGCGCCGCAATCTGGGATACAGACCTGCTCTTAGTCTCAACTGGGAAAACTGGATTTTATTTAACTCGTTTACTATCTTACTAATATTATAAATACGAAAGTTTAGATGGATGGATATTTGTTAGAGTTTGTTGCCTAAACGACTGAACGGATCTCCATGAAATTTGGCATAGACGTAGAGGATAGTCTGGAAGAACACATAGGCTACTAATTTTTGTTGTATTTTAACTTCACGCGGACGGAGTCGCGGGCGAAAGCTATCTTTTAATAATAGAGAAACATGTTTTAATGATGACATTCTATAATAATTTAATTATGCAAAATACTGCATATTGGAATATTGTACATGAATTGTCTTTTTTAAGTAATGATCCCTTATCACTTAATATTTACTAATAGTTAAGAAGTTCAGTATTACTTAATAGTAAATGTTAAATTAGCTTGAATTTGTCTCTCACCTGTCAATCTCTTCCTTTAATGTTCTTATAACTTCTTTAAAACGCTCCTTCTCGATTGTCGCTTCCCGCTGACAGTCTCTGGAGATTGAAAATAATCGTTTAACATGTTCTATACTTCTATAACAATATAATAAAGCGTAAACACATACAGATATTACTATTTTTCAATAATTATGTTCGGTTTGTTTATAGTTGCATCCTACCACCGTTTTCATCAATTGTCAAGAGATGGCGCTAGTTTGTTACACTGCGTTCGAACATTTTTTTATTTAACGCCATCTATTGGCAACTTAATTAAACATAATCAACGGTTTTAAAAATTCACCAATAGATGGCGTTAGATTAAATGAAAAATCTATGTTTGTAGAAGTTGTGAGTAAGCAGTGGGGGTTACCTGTACTGCCCCTCCAGCAGGTGCTTGTCCTTGCGCAGCTGCGAGATGTCGAGGTCCTTGCGCGCCAGCTCGTGCGCGTAGTGCAGCATGTGCGGCGGCGCGCTGCCCTCCTGCACACGACACCTTACATGTTACTTCTTACTAATATTATCAATACTAAAGATTAAATTGATATTTGTTATGTATGTATAAAAAGATTGGAATATACAGTTCACTACCATCTATAGTCCTTTCTTTTGAATGGTACATCGGACTTGTTGAAATTTGTCAGAAATGTAGAACAAAATCTGAAACACATATGTTACTTAGTTTGTTTGAAATTATTGATCCACCACCCTTTCTTAAGAGGAAAGGATGGCAAGGAAAAGTTGATTTGACGGTTGATACGCATAGGAAGGGGAAATATCCTCTTTTTGTGCGTCTCCTCCGTTAAAC